AAACCAAATAAACCCGATTACCCATTCCCGTTATCCTCACTTTATGTCCCTAAGACATCTAACACAAGGGACCTAGTCTAAGGACTATCATCGGGATGGAAAATACTGCTAAGGGATTCCTCAGCCGTAAATGTCCTTAAGGCAACCATGTGTGGGATGGAGTACATATGGTGAGCACACAGTTCAAATAAACACACAGTTCGAATAAAAACCTACAGGTTGCGAGTCTGCTAGTGTTCCACTGCACTGTCTAGAATATTCCATGGTCGTCATCTATACTCCGCTAGATGACTGGATCTATAGCGAGACCTCTCATTATTTTATTTTGTCACACAGCAACTATTACATCTACCCATATTTTACTTGAGAAGGTGGTGACTCGGTACTCGGACAGCGCTTCGTTTACTTTAAAATAATTTCCTTCGACGAAACCTAGTATTATCACCACTAGATCTTAGTCTAATATTACCGTGACTAATTATTATTATTATTATTATTATTATTATTATTATTATTATTATTATTATTATTATTATAAACAATACTTTCCAACCACTATGTACAAACAGGGGCCAGACATAAAACACCGGAGGGCAGGACCATTTTGGCGTATAGCACTTCTGAAATCCAACGACCCTATGCGGCCCTTTAAACCAGATTCTCCGTACCGCGAGTAGTTAAAAAGATATTATAACGACACTTATATAAGTCATAATAATAGCTCAAATATGTATTATAAATTTATAATAACAATACTAATTTTAAATATAAACTATATTTAAAATAGGGTAAGCATAACTTACTTACAAGGGGATTTTAGCTAGGAGTCGAGCTCTGCAGGGGCAGAACTTCGTCGTTGAATCTTTCTAAGAAAGATTTGTGCAGCGCTTCAGCGCTCACCTTACTATACTAAAACTACAGAAAGAGAAGTCGAATCACGAGGGACCGAAATGCTCGGGGGATAAGGAGAGAAAGACTCTTGAATCAAGAGAATGGTGCAAGAAATATGAGAGCCCAAGCCTCTTATTTATAGTAATTGAATTCACAAAAACTACCCTCCATAATTACTTAATGACCTTATAGTTATATAAACAACTAAACACCCATTCATAATATTATTTTAAACAGATTTAACGATATTTGCACTAAACTAATGTCGAAAGAACTCAACATTAGTCTTATAATGACCGCATCGTCGATACCTTTCTAATGATATATACATATGTATATATATATATATATATATATATATATGTGTGTGTGTGTGTGTGTGTGTGTACGTATATATGATTTATACTTTATTTTAATACGTAAATATGGTATTATAATTTGTAACTCATTCATATCAACTCCGTTTTTGACGTTATTTATATCCAACCGTAGGTGGAGACGTACTCTAAAACTTTCATTTAGACTCCGTCGGCTAATTTTGACTTTATTTTTAAAGTTATATTTTTAACAGGCCGGGACATGATTGGTCCGTTAAAATCTCATAACTTCTTTATCCGATGTCCATTATCGTCTGTCTTTTTATCTTTACGCTACTAATAACGAGATCTTCAATTCTCGTTTATGTTGTGTCGGCTAAAAACCGCTCGATCTAATACTCGAATTTCGGGCTGTACATCGTTAAGCCGAAACTTCGAAAAATCATAATTTCCTCATAAGAAGTCAGATTTGGGCATTCTTTTTATGGACGCTCTCAGGTTAACATATTCTATGACTTTCATTTAGATTACTAAGGCTAAAAGAAGCTCTATCATAAATTTACTATTTACGTCTCCCGATGCTGTGCCGGTTTTGCCGTAAAACTTTGATGAGCCATAACTTTTTCGTTATAACTCGGATTTCGACGCTCTTTATATGTACGGAAACCTTGTAACATATACTAAAACTTGGTTGATATTATTTATTCTTAATAATCTTTTGTCGAAAAGTCGTTTTCGACCCCTATTGCCTCTAAATTGACTAGCTCGGATCTACGGGCGTTACATTATGCTCCGCATAATACAAAAGGGATAATTGTATCTAAATGTTTGATAGAAAATCATTGTAATTGCATCAGTTTTTAAGTTATGAAAACCTTTATGTTTAGCTTGTATTCTCCCCCTGAGAACATGAAAAACTCGGAAAAGTGTAGGGGTATGAACTCACAGTTTAACGTAGGATCCGAATGCACAATTGGTTACGAGCGTCGAGTGTCAACCGATTTTTTATTCGCGTGTTGACCCTATGAATATATATTACACACACACACACATATATATATATATATATATATATATATGTATATATATATGTATATATATATATGTGTGTGTGTGTGTGTATTAGATTGAGTATCCCATGATACATCATGTTGGAAAACCACCCTAAAGGCTTGGAATCACTAGAACTAAGTGTTTTATGTCTCATACTTAGGGATCTTTACAAGTTCAAGGCCAAATATGAGCATTAGAGTGGGTGTATGGCCATAAAAATGAGGGTGCGACCAGGGAGTGCGGCCAAGCTGTGTGTGCGGTTACACACATATGTGTGCGGCCGTATAGAGGGTGTGTGCGGCCGTACACTCCTCATTTGAGTCCAAAATGTCGATTTTAAGGTGTTTTCTCCTAACTTTGGAGAGTTTTGAACGTGTGTGGCCACCTTATAAAGGTGTGTGGCCGTACACCTTCAAAGGACGAAGAACACTATGAGTTTTTGGCTTAGTTTCAAGTGTTTTACCAGTTTAACAAGCTGATTGATGGAGTAATTCACGTTTTTGAAGCCCTTAGAGTGTTCTTGGATGAATTTTTTAGAGAGAGAAAGTAGTGAGAGAAAGTAGAGTGCAACCAAAGAGAGAAAAGAATGAATGAAGGGGTCCTCCTCTATATATAGAGGGGAGTGTGTGGCTGGGGATGGGTGTTCGGTTGTGCTGCACACACCTTCCTTGGTGTGTTTGGCACGATTTTGTGATGTTACACTCCTTCCGTACCTTCTTAAGACTCATATCAAAATTGTGGGTCCATATGAGTGTGTTAGACTTAGTATATCAATGAACTCATGTGTTAGACTTAGTATATCAATGAACTCATATCAAAATTGTGGGTCCATATGGGTGTTCGGTTTGGCACGATTTTGTGATGAAACATTGATATACGGATCGAATGTACATGATAAAAGTTTCGGGTTGTCACAGTGAGCCTTTGTGGATCTTTTAATTTTGGGCCTCAGTTTTGGTTCATGTTGGATCAGGGGTAAAATGGTTATTTTACCCCATGTATGGTTGGTGGGCCTTAGAATGGAACCC